GAACTCCTGGGACCAAAGCTCTGGCTCGGTTTGCTTGAGGAAAGCGGTGCTGTCGCTAAGTACTTGGCCAGGTGCCGGTGATCAAGGGTCACTGTCCTTTCTCTGAAGCTTTGCTCCTTGTATCCCACGGCATTTTGTTCTTGGAGAGTGAAAATTGCGCCTTCCTTCGGGTCTGAAGTATCTCCTGGTCCTGTGGTCTCTACCCCGGGTTTGAACTCCCTTTGACTCCACTACCTACTCTCCTATCCAGTCATTTGGACATGTTTGTTTGCAAATTCCTGCCATGATTCTTTAGTTCCTCTCTCTAAGGTCACAAAGTTCTCTGAAGCCCATTGTTAGGGTCCAGCTCTAGAATGGCCCCAAAGCCTTGTTTTCAGAGGTATTTGGATCACAGGGGCACCTGGCTCCTCAGTGGATTCGTCGATGAGTTCCGAGCTGAACTTGCTCTTAGGAATTGGGGTCACTGGGGCCTTCGCTGGGAGAGTGCATCTCCTGCCTGGCTCCTCCCTTCTCTCTGCTGGCTGCTGTGACACAGACCCTTCCACCACGGAGAGAAGTTTCTGAGAACTTCAGCCCGAATAAACTTCTCTCCCTTTAATAAACCTCTGCCCCTTTAACTTGTGGGTGTCAGGTATTTTGTCCCAGCAATGACAAAGTGTCTAAGAAACACAGTTACTGCTCTGTCCATATTGCTAAGCAAATAGTTGTCTTAAAACTGAAATATGAAGGCTGGGGAATTAGCTCAGTGGTGCCGCCACCTGTCTCACAAGTGCAAGGTCCTGAGTTCAATCCCCGGTAACAAAAAAACAAAAAACAAAGCCCTGAAATATGAGAGGAGGACATTTCTAGGAAAATACTTTCATTTTCTGCTTTTAGAACTCAGAATGGCTCGCCATTGGATGCTCCCACTGTATACAGAAAGTTTTAGAATAAGAAAAGTGCTAAATTAACTCTGTTCTGTTAACTGTTTCAGAGAGTGGTAAAATAGCTGTGCAGTACAGACCCAGGGAGGAGACCACAGATGCCGGAAACGAAGAACTTCGGGATTTAATTCAGGTATGTGGGGATGAAAGCTCGAGGGTTCTCTCATCAGCATAGCCACTATTGCGATCAACCAGCCTAGCGGCTAAGAAGGGCAGGCGCAGCTCAGGGCAGAGCACGCGCCTAGCAGGTGTGAGGCCGTGGGTTCTGGCGTCAGTACTGCAGGAAGCAAAAGAAAAACAGGAATCCTGGGACTTCATATGTATTATGCTGAAGAAGACATGAGATTCCTTAACCACTTGTGAGTATACTGCGTATCTAGGGCTCTTCCTAAAGTCCTGGCCCTGGCCCCTCTCTGAATGTGGGAGAGTAGAACCGAGGCCCTCAGATACCGCTCCAGCTGTAGATGCAAGGGAGGGGCGGCCTCTGTCAGAGACCTAAGGAGGCGGGCGCCTTTTTAGAGCTCCCTGCAGACAGGATCCCGGGGCTCAGAGCAGCCACTGCCTTACGTGTGATTGTGCTGCCGCTTTGCCTTGCCGAGGTGGCCTGTTACCTGCGTCTCCGCGACTCCCTGCACCCCAAATCGAATATTTTGCTGAAGACTTTCTGTAGATCGATTGTAGGAAAACCCTGAATCAGAGATGAAGTTCCAGAGTCATTTCTGAAAGAAAATAGCCAATATTTCCTACAGTGAGGGTGTTGGGAGGCGGACACAAGATGTGCTTCGTGCCAGTGGGAACCAGTTTGGGGAGTGTTGATGATGTACAACATCTTGAAGCCATGGAGCGTTTTGTTCGGAAAAGATAAGAGGTGGCAGAAGTTTTTCATGTAAAAGCATGATG